GGTTGCTCTGCAGCGGGACTAGATTTCAAACAGCTTTAGAAGCAGGTCAGATACCAGCTTTTAAAATTGGATTCAGGTTGAAAATGTCGATGTTACTCTTGCCATCACTGACAAAGTAGAGAAGCACAACCATGCAAGGACTCTGAGCCAGTTTGCTTCCAAAATCTCACTAACCACACTTCCTCTGGGACCTGTAGAGGGGTACAATTTTTTCCAAAAACTTACCTCCCCAAAAAAAAAAAAAAAAAAAAAAAAAAAAAAAAAAAAAAAAAAAAAAAAAAAAAAAAAAAAAAAAAAAAAAAAAAAAAAAACCAAAAAAAAAAAAAAAAACAAGTAAAATAAAATTATCTGCCTATAGATAGGCAAATGGGATGAAAAAATACTCTGGAGGGACTCAAAGCTTCTGCTCCATCCAATGTAGCCTTGCCAGGCACTACCCTGGCCCCAGTGTGGCAGTCTCTGTTGGGTGACAGGGCAGCAGGGTCACCCCACCAATTCCATGAGCCCTGCAGGATGAGATGGATTGCCCATGGGGATTGAGGCATTGGTACTGCTCCTGTTGTATGAAATATCACTGTTTCAGAGGGGTAACAGGAAAGACTCAGATGGGTAACAACTCTCACTTCACCCCTGCCCCAAACTTTGCTATCCTGACTTSTCTGTTCGTTACTCATTAATTTGTCCAAACAGCATCTGTCTCTGACCACAGCAAACCAAGCTGTGGCCAAACACCTTGGGAGCATCTCTGGGCAGACCCTTCGAGGTTGCAATGATGCCTTGCACCGAGACAGACCAAAACCCAGCACGGTGGGGCCAGTGCCGGGCACASCACAGCCCAACCTTCCTCCCAGCCCCACCAGCGCACCTTGCACCAGCCACAAAGCTGCAAAGYCACAGAAAAAGCTGCTCCCCCAGCCAGACTCACAAAGACAGCCCCATCCTAATTGCCTGGGCTGGTGGCTCACCCGGCAGTCCAGCACCTTCTATTAAAAAAATAAGGAGGGAAAAATGAAGAAAAAAGTATTTAGAAAAATACCTATAAAAAGCAAAGCAGCATGGAAATCAAAGCCACCATTTTGAGGAGATTGAAGCATAATGCTAATAACTTTCGGCAGCTTCCACTGCGGAGTTTAAGCAGCTGCCAAGTTAAATAACTAGGAGGATCCTAAGTTATCTTCCAATGGACCAGAAATGCCCAGTGCCGACTGCCCGAGCGGAGGCGGCCCGACGGACACAGGGAGCCTGGCCGGGCCTGCGGGGCCCTAAGCTCTCGCCCGCCCGGGACCCACCCGGGGCGAGCCCCGAGGAGCCCCTCACCAATCGGGTCTGGCTGTCGAGGAGAAAAAGGGGAACCYCCGCCTGTTTTCGATGTCAGCGGCYGGGAAGCGTTTGGGTCCGGGGCTGCCGGGCGCGTACGGGACCCCCGAGGGGAGCGGGCGCTAGAGAAGCCCCGGGTGACTCGCTGTGTCCCGCATGGGTCCGACCCGGCTCGCCCGGACACCACACTCGTTTTTCTGGGGAGGCAGMGGCGTAAAAATAACCGTAGGAGCGATCGCGTCCGCATTGGGAACGGCTTTGCGGCGTGCGCCTTCCTGGGAAAAATCCGCAAACCATTTCTGCCTCCAAATGTCGGGGGTGAAGGATTAAAACCCCACGGGAGAACTGCCTCCACGGGAGAGGCGGAACGCGGGGCCGAGCCGGGAGCCCGCTGCGCATCCGACGTGCAGGCTCCTGCCTCCGAAAGCCGGGCCGGGCCGCTCGGCCCCCCCAAACCCACCCGCCCCGCTCGGCTCTCCGGGGGCACAGGGGCTCGGGCTCGGCCTGGGCGGTGGGCAGGCGGCGGGGCTGGGGCAGCTGGCTCAAAGTCAGTCACTTGTAATATGCTCGCCGGAACAGCAGAAGTCGAATCGATAGAGACGGCCTCCAGCTGTGCCTAAACCTGCGATTTCAATTAAAATACTGAGCTCTGATGCCCGGCTCTTAGCTGGGATCTCAACGCCCTGATGCATAAGGCGTGCGGCACCCGGCTCCGAGCCGGCCGGGAGGCAGCGGCACGGCCCGAGCCGGTACCCGGCCTCGGGATGCACGGGAGCTTCTCCGGGATGCGGGAAGGAGGCAGCCCCGGGGCTCCGCAAGAGCATCCCCCGCTCTCCTCGCCCCCGGGAGCCCCGAGGCCTGCGGGAYCCGCTGCCCCGAGCAGGGCAGTGGGTACAGAGCAGCGATCCGCCAGCCGTCCCCTCGGCCAGGGAGGGAGGGAAAGAGGGAGAAATSCGGTTCAGCAAACACCGGCAAGGACGAGGGCAGCTCGGGGAAGCTGGCAGCGAGCTCCCGGCCCCGGCTCCGCAGCCCTTCTTTTATCCTGCCCGAAATCATCTCGTTTACAGAAAATATTTGTTTGCACTATTAGTTGGTACTGGAGTTAATTACTCAACGTGTGAGCGGGGAGTAATATGGATAAAAGCAGCCCCAGTGTTTATTGTGTGGGTGAGCTGTTTGAGCGGTGCTTGAATAAACTGCAATTAGGGTTAGATAGAGATTAATTAACATGTGAGTGGCAAGGTGTAAAATAGTTCCCAACCCTCCACTCAGTATAATCTGCAGGCGAGGAAAAGAAGTTTGTGGAGGCTAATTAAATACTTCGCTAAAGCCGGCGAGCCCCGGGAGCGAGCGGAGCCCAGCCCAACCCAGACACCGCCTGCCCGCTCCCGCTGCCCGGAGGAGGCACGGGCTGGGCGGGCAGCGCGGCTCGGCTCGGCGCGGCTCCCCGGGGCTCAGCCGGGCTCTCCCGCAGCCCAGACACCGGGCACGGCTTCTGTGGTTCTCCACGGTCCCGTCCCAGCCTCTCCTCCAGAAGCGGGACGGTTCCCTCGCTCCCTKGCACGTTGACCCGTGAGATCCGGGCGGGCACGGCTGGGGGGATGCCAACACCTGATGCTCCAGGCGGGGTGTCCCCTCAGGGCTGGGCGCTCCCCTCCGCCCGCAGGCAGCCCGGGGCGGCCGCCGCTTTTAAAGTTTGTTTCTGGAGCGTGTTGTGGTTCGCAGGTGAAAAAGCCTGTCTGCAAACAGCCGCCGGCGAGCTGCCCCGGCGGGGAGAGGAGGCGCGGCTTTGTCAGCGGCGCACAAAACCCCCGAATTCCTCTAAACTTTCTTAGGCGTGCGAGGGAGGCGGAAAAAAAAATATATATAGGGGCCTTTTCATTGCTTGCTTTACCTCTGGCCAGGCTCAATCTAAACCCTTCGCTCCCCCCTCTCCCCCGGATAATCCTCCCCTTTATTTTAGAAACACACAAAACCAGGTTCCACGCAGCGCTATAGTGGCTACAAGTGAAAGAGAATTGAGCGCCCTGAATCGCCGGGGGAAAATTGGTTCGGCTGAATAGCCCCGGCGAGGAACGGGGCGGCTAATCAGAGCCCGGGGGGTGCTGCCCTGCAGCCGGGCCCCCCCAAACAGGTGGACGCGGGACTCTCTCAATTACCGCGTCCTCGCATCTGAGGTTTCTGCAAATCCTCCCCTCCCGCATCACGGCGTTTTAATTAGAGAGAGGAAGGGAAGAAACCCCGGCATCCAGGCGCTATAATGTAGCGTCGTCTACATTGGGGGGGGGCGGGGGGGAGAAAGGGGGAAGAAGAAAGCGCGGAGGGGGGTAGGACAAGGACAGGGGCTAGAAGGGCAAGGGAGAGTCGGTGTGCCCCCCGGGGCAGCGGGCACCTTTAGGGGGTGACAACTTGCAGAACTTCCCTTCGCTAAACACGGGTCTTTTTTAAAAATTATTATTATTATTTTAATTTATTTTTTTTTTCAGCAGCGAAATCTAGTCCTGGACACGACTCCCTCCGCATTTATTTAAGGCTAATCACCAGCTACCCTGAGAGGGGAGAGGGCTGGAATTAAACTTAGTTTAATTAACATTAATACACTGTCCTAATTAATGGGTTGGCTATTAATTTATACATGCTGGGGAGGCTCGCAGATAAGTGACAATTTATTAATTATCTTCCAGCTCGGTTGCAACGGAGCTGATTGCAGATGGGTTGCCAAAATAACTCGAGCATGGTTGCGTGGTAGCTGCTTTAGAAAAAAAAATCATTCTCCCCCTTCTTAAAAAAAAAAAAAAAAAAAAAAGGAAGAAGAAGAAGAAAAAAAAATCCTCACGCTCACTCGGAGTGGCTCTTCTAACCCCAGCAAGAACTGGAGCACTCTTTTCCACCCAACTTGTGAATCGCACTTGCCTTCTAATTTGCCACATGCAAAACGATTCCTCTGCTTTGCAAGTTGCTTTTTAAGAAGGGAGAGAGAGAGGAAAAAACCCAGCTCGCACACGAGCGATTTGTGCGTCTTAAACTGGAAGGAAATTGTGCGTGGAGAGGGGGGGCTYGTCTTCCTCTCTCTGCCCCAACCCACCGCGCTCCAGCCCGGCGCCTCGGCTTGGGGAAGATCCATGGTGGCATCCCCATGTCATTCTGCTCAAAGTGACTTCATATGATGTCAGCTTTAAATGTACGAGACCGTGATCTGACGCTCAGGAAGATGTTTGCTATCAAAATGTGACTGTGGCCACACTGCGCTGCTTGGATGAGTCTCGCCGGCRCTGGGCAAAGGTAAGTGGTCCCAAGGCGAGCCCCGCCGCCCCTCGCCGTGCCCCCCGCCCCTGCTCCCGCATTTCCCGGACCGTGGCCATCAGTGGGGCTGGGCTGGGTGGCATTGGGCTGGGGGAGGTTTTTTTTCTTTTTCTTTCCCTTTTTTTAAAATACTAACAAGGTCTAGCTTGCATGTTACTTTAGCGTGTTCCGCTTAATGAGCAGTAATCTGGTACCCTACGTGCCATTGTTCTTGAATATGTTCATTTGAATGTAAATAGGGAGGGGGTGCCGGTGGGGGGTGGGGTGGGGGGAGAACAAGGTGCTTATTAAATTGATTTGTCTCCTGGCTTTTCTGGAATGCAGAGCCGAGAGCGGGAGCGAGTCGCTGCTCACACCAAGTTCCCGCACGGCGGAGCGACATGGCGAGCCCGGGGTCGCTGGAGACGGTCATGCCTTCCTCCTGCCCCCGGCACGACGGCAGGGCCGCCACCGCTAACCCCTCCAAGACCCTGGCCTTCTCCATCGAGCGGATCATGGCAAAGACGTCGGAGCCCAAGCCGGCCTTCGAGGAGCGGCACGGCGGGCCGGGGCCGGAGCCGGGCAAGAAGCCGCTCAGCCTGTGCTCGCCTCTGCCCTGCGTGATCCCCATCCCGCCGCTGGGCTACGAGCTGCCCTCCAAAACTCTCAACTATTCGGAGCTGTGGAAGAGCAGCCTGCGGGGCGGTGCGGGGCTCTGCAAAGCCAACTGCGGCGTCTGCTGCAAGGCAGAGCTCGCCCTGGGCCAGCCCAGCGGCCGGCTCATCAAGCCGCAGGTCATCCACCAGGCAGGGRCCGTGCCGGCCGCCCCCCGCTCCCTCTACTACTTCAACTACCTGGACGCCGCGTACCACCCGGCCGATCTCCTGCACGGACAGCTCTTCCCCGCCGGCCTGCTGGGCGCCCCGCCGCCGGGGGGGCTCTCGGCCCACCAGAAGCTTTTCCTGCTGGAGAACGCCAAGCTGGCGGGGCTGGCGGCCGAGAAGCTGCCGCCGCCGCCTCCCTTCGCCCACAAAGAGCGGCTGCCGGGACACCTGGACCAGGTGATGAAGGAGGCGGCGGCGGCGGAGCGCGGCGGCCCCCCCAAGGGCCACGCCAAGATGGGGGGCAGCGGCGGCGGGGCGGCGGAGGGCAAGCCCAAAAACTTCACCTGCGAGGTCTGCGGCAAGGTAAGGGGGGCGCCGGCATCGGGTGGGGGGGGCCGGGGGCGGCGGCGGCGGGGCCGTGCCTGACCTCGCCTTCCCGGCGCTTCCCCGCAGGTGTTCAACGCGCACTACAACCTCACCCGCCACATGCCGGTGCACACGGGGGCCCGGCCTTTCGTCTGCAAGGTCTGCGGGAAGGGCTTCCGCCAGGCCAGCACCCTGTGCCGGCACAAAATCATCCACACCCAGGTAGGTGGGGGGCAGCCGGGGTGCGGGAGGCGGCGGCCGCCCCTGCTCTCCGCGTAGCCCCCACTGACGGGCCTCTCGCACCCCGGTGCAGGAGAAACCCCACAAGTGCAACCAGTGCGGAAAGGCGTTCAACAGGAGCTCCACGCTCAACACCCACATCCGCATCCACGCCGGCTACAAGCCCTTCGTTTGCGAGTTCTGCGGCAAGGGCTTCCACCAGAAAGGTGAGCTGAGCCGGGAAGCGCCGGGGCCCTCGCCCATCATTAGCGGGGATTAAACGCGGCGAGTCCTGCCTGSCTGGGGGAAGCGAGGGGCTCAGGCAGAGCCGCCGCCGCTCCCAATTACTTTCCCTCTAAGCCGGGCCGCATCGCCGGGCACTGCTGACGGTTCCCCCTAAATGCTTTTTAAATGAAAGGTGCCGGGCCTTGGTCCTAATCCAGAGCCCTCCGTTTGCCGCGGGTCACCGGGCTGACCCTGCTTCTCATTTGTGCCATGCCAGTTGCGCGCTGCTCCGCGCTGACGCGGACCGAGTTTGACAAGTGGGACGGGGGTGCGGGGGGAGACACTTCCTAATGCCCCCCTTACCTGTGCACAGTGCGGCCCGGGCACCCTCGGGTAACCCCSTTTTCCGTCTTTTTCCTCTTTCGCAGGCAATTACAAGAACCACAAGTTGACCCACAGCGGAGAGAAGCAGTACAAGTGCACCATTTGCAACAAAGCCTTCCACCAGATCTATAACTTGACTTTCCACATGCACACCCACAATGACAAGAAGCCCTTTACGTGTGTCACTTGCGGGAAAGGATTTTGCAGAAACTTTGATTTAAAGAAGCACGTCCGAAAGTTGCACGACAGCGTCTCCAGCGCTCCTCCGCCGCGGGACCCTGGGCGCAGCGGGCAGAGCTAAGGGCCCGGCGCGCCGCCACACTCGGACCTGCTCCACCAGGCCAGCACTATTTATCCGAACCAGCCTTCGCTTCTCTGTCTTTTCCCCAGCGAGCTCAGCCGCCAGTAGCAAGCGACCCCGAGCCGCAGTTGTATATAAGAGGAATCTTATTTAATGGCGCGTTGCGCCGTCGGAGCGGGCCAGGACGGGCCGGGCTGGCCGCCCCCCGCCCGGCGCCAGGACAGCGCTCTTTATACGTGTCTGTAAATCTCCATTTTAAATGTACGCTCGAATAAGTGAGGAATATATATATATATATATCTATATCTATCATGGGACAATAAACCGGCCCTTCGCAGGTGTTTCATTTCCCACCTGGGCCCCGGCCCGAGCGGGGACCGGGCTGCACGGCGCCATCCCCCGTGTGAACGCGGCTTGCGGGAGCTGCGRGAGCCGGGCCCTGCCGCTTCAGGGCCCGCCGAGCGCCGCGGGCATCAGAGGAGCAAAACGAGGGCGGGAGGGAGCCGGGCGGCTTCAGAGGGCTGCAGGACCCCCGGCGGGGCTGCGCGGCCCCGACTGGCAGAGCGTAGGGCGGCTCGGAGTTTCTCAGCGCCGCTTTTCGGGGTCGGTTCATTACGGCGTGTTTAAGCCGCTCCTGAATGACTATCTTTCCTTGCATGCAGATAAAATGATCTCACGCTTGCTTTCCGAGTAATGACCCAAATTAAGAGAGAAAACACAGACCCTTCAAACCGCATTACATTAATCTAATCACTCCCAGCAGGCCTCAGAAACTCTTTTTGATCAGAATATGGATAATCAAGCACTTGGATTACACTAAATATTCCCTTCTCATCTCCCTCCCTCCCTCACTTTTAATACGCAAGTGTCTATTCCGGCCACGTCGTTAGGAACAATATTATTCTAGCGGAGAAAGGAGATTGAGGCGGCCGGGCGTGTGCGTGCTGCTCGGGCCGGGCTTGCCAATGAAGAGGGGAACGAGAAAGGCACCGAAATGCCTGGGGACGGCGTAATGGGGAGCTCACCTTTCTCCGCTTAATTGAGTGGTTAAACAGAGGGAGGCGAGGACGAGCACAGCTCGCCGCCGAGCACAGGAACGGGAGTCGACCCCTCGCTCCGGGTTTCTGGATTCATTATTAAGCTACGACGTTCCGCGCTCTCCAAGGAGCGGGCTGGGGGCTGGGGCCGGGGCTGCGGGCCCTGAGCTCACGCTGGAGGGACGGGGCGATTTCAGAATTTCTCGGGGTTTGCATTTTCCAGTGTCGGAAATAGCGGAAATTTTGATGATTTGAGGAGGGAAAAAGAATGTCCGGTGATCCTGGCAGTGGGGAAAAATGATGACAGAATTTGTTTAAA